TGCTGCCCAGCCTGCAGAGATCCTTCTCCATGGCTTTCTAGACAAGGAACTGGACAGGCACCTTTCTCCATACAGTACAAAAACCAGTCACTCCGGCAGCAGTTTTGCTGAGGCGCACCCAGAGACAGAATTATTCTGACTGGAGGAGAGATGCAGAAGGACAACCACCTGTTAGCAAACGGCAGAAACCCTGTGCAATAACAAGCTAAATATCTCATCCAGCTGGAAGTGCATGAAAAAAAAAAAAGTAAAAAGAAAAAAAGAAAAAGGCAGGTTTTGTTTGGGATTGGTTTGGTGTGGTTTTATTTTAAAGGGTCATAACGGGTGGTGGTGTGCAACCATTGCCAGGGAGGCCCCATCCCATCCATTCGAATGGAAGCGAGAGTTTTCAGAAAAGCACATTGTTCTGCGACAAATCTATTTGACGATTCCCACTGAAGTGAATAGCCCTTCATTCCAGCAGGAATTTGTGCCGTCACTTCAAATGATATGCATATAAGTTAATTTCACACTGCTTCAGGACTTTGTTTTCAAACTACCAAAAGGGTTAAGAACGGAGAAGGAAACACTTGCCAAACTCCCCGGTCTAAACTAAGGGTAAGGGACTTTTTTTTTCATGGGAGGGGGAAGGGCAGGTGGGTGGACAATGGCGAGAGAGAGGGAAATAGGGACTGGAAATTAAGTACAGTCTTTTGTAATTCTACAGTTCAAAGATGCTTTTGAACAGGACTGCTGCCAACTGTACAAAACCATCTTTTTACGGAAAAAATATGCCAGTAACAACAGATTTACAAGAACTGAGCTAGTGTGTCCTATACGCATTTATTCCATATTATGCAAGATTAATTGTTTGGAGCATCATGCCTTCAGGAGTGTTCTAAGCATCGGGGAGCCAAATTTAGCCTTGATATCATGAAGTCAAATTTCCTTTTGTATCACAAAGTCCCCAGGATGCCTGGTTACAACAGTGCTGAATCTGGCACTGGAAGATGTTACCTACAGACTGGGCACAGTTTTGTTTAAATATGACAAATTGCATTTGCTTCCTTAGCCTGCATGAATTGATGTACATATTTTGGTGCTAGACCTTCAAACCATTTTATTTTAAACAGGTTTAATGCCTTTTGTTGTTTTGGAATGAGAAAGAATAAAAATATTATAGCAGATGGCAATTTGATTATAGTTGTCAGAAATAGGATTTTAAGGTTGCACTCTCAGTTACACTATGGCCCCATTATATTTCCTACCCATCCTAAGAGTGCCTTAAACTTCGTGTAAATGTAATTATGCAATGTAATTTGCTTCGACTGCTAACTATAAAATGGGATTTATCTATATAGGACTCGTCTATACAGGGAAATGGAATAATTACACCCAATTAAAACATCTACCTGCAAAGTTACATCAGCACAGCCATACCAGTATAAATTATTCTGCTACAATTATGCTCATCAGTTTACCCATGTAAAAAGGCTCTTATCATAAATAAAAATGGGGCTCTAATGATTAATTCAGTATTATATTTATCCAGGTTTATTGGCATGGTGGAATGTATTGGTTACCATGGAATCAAAACGGCAGAGTCTAACAACAGAGCAAAGGACCAGGCTTCAAAAGTATCAGCAGAGCAAGAAAAGCTCTTTTAAACAAACTGCTGAACAAACCTGTGTATGAACCTTTGGACAGCATCCTCCATACCACCCAAGCAATCCCGTGTCCCCGTCGCAGAGCAAATTGGCATGAGAACAGCTTTGTGCTAGCTGAGGATTAGATTTACTAAATTACATTGATTTTGAAAAACTTTGGGAGTCCTCTCAGTTATGTTGGTTTTCAGAGCAAAATGTTGATGAATGTCCAACCTCCATCACGGCCAGCAGTCTGCCTGTAGTAATTCTTTGCCTGAATTCTGTTTTGTTTCACAGTTACAAATTAATGAGGCCAGTTAATTGGCAAACATTCAGTGTGGCTGAAGACTGGATGAACATACTATTGTGAGCATCTGATAAACTTAGCCATGCGTAGCTTTGAGAGAAACTGCTCTTCATGACCACTGTTGAAGGAAATCATCAAATATTACACTGTTTGTGGAAAATGTGGGGCTTACGTAGAACCTGTTCCCAGTAGATGTCTCAGTAGCAAGTATGGTGTATATACAGCTATTCAATATTTTTCCATGAGGTTTTGCAAAGATAGTGCATCTGAAACTAGAATGCACACCTAGATTGTAAAGAAGCAAGACTCTCAAGCCAATTTTTTCAAGCTTCTGTATTTTGCTGTTGAAAATCTAATTTGGGGATACATCCATTGGCACTGTACCCACAAAACCGACGACTGGCGCAAAGATGCAGCAAAGAAACTGCATTTCTCAGAAAAGTCACCTTTAATTTTATGACCTGGTTACAGAATGCTCTAATTCTGAGACAGCCCTTAGCTGGACTCCTGGGACCTTGGGCAAAGGCATGAATTCCCTCTTCGCCTCGCGAGTGGCCACTCTGCCCTGACTATACACTCGCCACTCTGCCCTGACTATACTTACAGCGCTGGTCTCCGCCCGTGGTTGGGGCATCATCGCTCCCTGCGGAGCAGCTCTGCCCTCGTCGATGACAGCCTTTCCCGGAGCACAGCTATGTGCTGTGCCACGGCCAAAAATCTCTACGGGCATGAGCGTGACAGAAACGCTGCCTGCTGCCCCCGGACCCCTGCAGGCCCCTCTGCGAGGGCTGCACAGGGCCGTATTTGGTATTCCTCGGTGATTTCTGCACAGGGCTCACTCTGCTCCCAGATGATTTCAGACCGCTTAGCTCTGCCAGAGTCCGCCTTTGGATACCGCCATCTGTTGCGGGCTGGGGATGGCTCCGCATCGCCCCGCACCCGAGCGCTCCCTGTTCCCCTCGCGCGGCCGGGACGCTGCCCCAGCCCCGCCGGAGGGTGCGGAGGGAACGGGGCACCCCTCGCCGGTGCCCGGGCAGCGCTCCCTGCGCGCCCCGCACGGGGATGTGCCGCGGGCAGCGCGAGCCACGAGGGGACAACGCCGGGAAAGTTTATTGCTGGCAAAAACCACGGCGCCGACGCCGCGGCCCCGGCGCGGGGCTCCGGCGCAGCGGGCAGGCGCCCCCGCCGAGGAGGAACCGGCCCGTCCACCCGCGGGACACCGGGAGCGGCCCCGGCCGGATCCCCCCGCGCCTGGGAACGCCCGCGCCCGGAGGAGCGGGATGCGGTCGGTCCCCCACCGCCCCCCTGGGACGCCCCGCCCGGGGTGAGCACTGCTGGCCCGTCCCCAGCCCAGGGGCCGCCCGTGCCGGCCCGGCGCAGGGGGCGGGGGGTATGCCGAGGGGGCGGGAGCCCGGGGAGGGCGGCGGGTCCGGGCGGGCGCCCCCGGCCGCGCTCGGGGCGGGGGCGGGAGCGACGGGGCGGGGCGGGACGTACCAACAGCCCCTCGGGGGAGGACACCGTGGCACCCCCTCCCACCCGCCGCCCGCGACACCTACGGGAACCCCCCCGCCCCCGTGCGCGTCTGCGAGTCCCACACAGCGGGGCAGGGAAGGCGGGGACGAGGCGACTCGCCCCGGGGCGGGGGGGGAGGTGGCGGGGGTCGCGGTGGAGGCGCACGGCACACGCCTCCCACCCTCCCTCGGCCCCCCCCTCCCTGCGGCGGGTGGTGCGGCCCGCTCTGAGGAGGGCGGGAGCGGCGCGCCCCGCCCCGCTCAGTGACACACGCTCCGTGTGGGGAGGCGCCGCCGGCGCGGGCAGCGGGACCGGGCGGGACCGGCCGGGCGGCGTAGCGGCGGCGACTGCGAGCCGAGCCCGGAGCATGGCAGGGGCCGGAGCCGCTGCGGAGGCTGCCGCTGGTTTTCCCCCTTCGTCGGCTCCTGCCGCCCGCCGGGAACTTTTCCTAGCGGCTGGTGGCGGTGCCTCCCCCCGGTGGCGGCAGCGGCGGCGGCGGCTGCGCTCGGCGGTGCCTCCCGGGCCGGGGCTGGGGCTGCTGGGGTTGGTTTTCTCTCGCTTCTGCTGCAGTAAGTGGAACTTTTCCCCTCGGCGGACGGGCGAGGGGGTGGGTGGAGGAAGAGGAGGAGAGAAACCCGAGCCCCGGGAGCGCCGGGGGACGCGGCCGAGTTGAGGGAAAGTTTGTGTGGCGGCCGGCGGGGCGGGGTGCGGGGGCTGCCGGGGTCTGCCGGCCGCCCTGAGCGGAGGGAGCCCGGCGGGACGCGGCCGGGATCGTGCGGGAGGGAGCGATGCGGGGCAGGGTCGGAGCCGGAGCCCGCACCGCGCCGGGCAGACCCGCGGGCGCTTCCCCCCGGGAACCGCCGCCACTGCCGCCAGGAGGGCGGGGGGGTGTCCCGGGAGGCCGAGTTTCCCCGGCGGTCGGGCTCGGGTGGCCGCGGCCCGGGCGGGGCAGCAGGGGAAGTTTATCCGCCGCCGGCGGGGCTGGGGCTTCCCCCGGCGGGCGGCAGGTTATCCGCTGAAATGCCCTTCCTGACCGGCGGGATTTTGCTTGTTTGCGGGAATTCGCGGGTGCTTTTTCCCCCCCCCCTGCACTTCCCCTTTCCCTGCCTGCGGGAAGGACAGAGGAGTCTTGGCGTTCTGCGGGTGCTCTTGGGGGCCGGGATGGTTCGCGCTGCGCTGCCGGCGCTGTTGGCCCGTGTGGTTGTTCCCGGTCGCCGAGAGTGAAATCCGTGCTGGTGGCGGGGTGAGGTCGCTGCCGGTGCGGTGGCTTTGTGCGCTTCTCATCACCCGCATCCTGAGCAGCTGCTGCCGGGGGCACTGCGGTGCCGGGCCCCGCGGGGCTTGGCGTGACCACTCGGGGAAAAGAAGTGCCATCACCAACACCCCCCCCTCCCCTTCCCGTGCATCTTCCTGTGGGAAACAAACAGGCGACGTAGCAGTTGGAAACTGAGCAGGAATTTATTTATTTATTTATTTATTTATTTATTTTATTTATTTATTTACTACTGCGTGCGGTGTGGCGTGCGTGGTGTCTTTTTTCTTTTGTTGTTTTTACAGCAGTGGAAGATGAGAGAGGGGATAAAAGTGGACTTGGGCGAGAGCAAATCGAAAACCGTCATCCTGCCGTTGTATTCCCAATGCAGCGATGAGTAGTTGGCAAGGATATTTTATTATAGGAGACACTGTGTCCCTTCCCTCTTTAATGAAGGAGGAACAAGTTAGAGGAGGTAGTCTCTGGAGATTCGTGTGATAAAAATACCCAGGAACTTGCAAGCCGTAAAGCAGTTGTGTAGTATCTGAGAAATGCTTTTTCAGGGAGGGAGTTGAGGCGCTGCTGCTGTAGGATTGTGCTCGTGTATGTAATAGTCTCCCCCCTCTGGCAATGATGTAGCTTTCAAAAAAGATCATTGTTCCTAACTTTGTAAATATTAGGAAGGCATCGCATTTCAAAACTTTAAGGCTTGAAGATTAATTTCCATAGGGTCGGCAAACTTTTTGCACTAGCACTTCTCTCCCTTTTTTTCGGGGTTATTTCTGCTCTTTTGCAATTAAAAACGTGAAGCTTCAGACTTGACAGAACCTTGACAAGCTATTTTTATATCTAAATGTGAAGATAATAGTAACAATGAAGTTAAGAGCATCCGTGCCCCGTGTCACACAGTGACTTACCGGCTTAGTCTTGATGAGTGTCATTCGGATGTCAGTCTTCCCAGATTCTTTTTGGCATCTGTGAACTTGACTGATAACACTTCAGAACATCTGCCAGAAGCGGCAATGTTGTGTGGGAATAAGCACAAAGTTTAGAAGTGTAATCTCTGGATGAAAAGGAAAACTTTAAAAAAACTACTAGTGACTTTTGGGCTGTGGGATAAGCAGCAGGGGAAGACTGAGTTTTTTGTTAATATCTCAGATTTTAGTTTGGGTTTTTTTTCCCCACTTGAAATTTCCCAGAATTGTTTTCATTATCATCGTAACTGTAACACATGAGTACGAAGGAAAACTATTGTTATGGCTGGCTTTTAAGAGTGCTGTTATATACATTTTGAGCATGATTACATGTTGATGGAATTCAAAACTGCTGATTACATTTGGTCACCTTTCCTACTATTGGCCAACCAATTCTGATAATGATAGCAAAAGGAAGATTTGAAAATGGTACCACAAAAAATACAAACCCTAGTAGAATAATACCACTGTTTGTATACAATCACTTGGACCAGCAATTAGAAATGATGATTTATTTGATCTGTAATTCCTCAGAGAAATATTGCCAAAAACCCCTCAACACTCCCAGCAAAAAACTGAAGGGGGGCACAAAGAGAGAAAATATATCAGGCATCTGAAATAACAGCAGATTCTGGATTTTTGAATAAAAATAAACCTGCTTTAGTAAATACTGCTCTTCTTAGGAAAGCAAGACTGTTGGGTTCACATGCACAAGTAATTGTTCCACTTCTCAGTCAGACAGTGCATGGTTCAGTGAAGTAGGTACTAAACTTTATGATCAAATCAGTATAGCTTTGAACTAGGGGAGATCTATGGCATCCATAAGAAACATCATCATAACCTTAAATCTATAAAATAACTTACTCTGCATTGTGACAAATATTTTTCAGCTATGTTGTAAACGAGGACCCGTGTGCTACTAAATAAATTCCTCATCATTTCAGTGCCTCGTTAGTTTGTACACAGTAAAAAGAGTTTTGCAGAGTTTTTTGGAATATAAGTACGAATTAAAAATTAGCAAAATCATAAAGTGAGGTGAATAGAAAGGAAAGATATTCAAAATGCATTTTTTTTCATTGAGGAAATAATTATTTATTTTCAGTTTGAATTATTGGTTAAGTTTCTTAGTAAGGCTAGAAAAAGTCTGTGGAGCATATATCTTTTTAAGTATCATTGTTTGTTTTTTTTTTTCCAAAGCAGCTTGCAGTACAGGCTCCAGGATGGTAGTGGAGCTGGAAGGATTGGATTATAAAGATGTGCATGGTATAAGTATACAGTATACAATATAAAAAAAAAATTAAAAAAAGAAGAAATTTCCCAAGTAACTATTGACCAAAACAGTCTGTTTGAGTATAAACTTTTTTACTGATTTTTCAGGTTAAGTCATGGCAAAAACAGGAGGTCAGGCAAACCAGGTTAGTGCCTTGGAAATGGGGAAGCATGGTAGAGTGTTCAAAAAGACAACAGAATGTATTTTTTTCTTCATTGTGCATCAAAGTCAACGATAATAGTTTAGAAATTCATGTCTGAATATGCATTTATTTTTTGAAAATGGTATGGAGAAAAATGCAGTTTTAAAAAGACATTAGATGAGTCAATATGACAATAGTGAGAGAAGGAATAGAAAAACTGTAGAAGGTATTTGAGAAGCTGGAAAGAATGAAGTGGTGGTGAACTGTGTAGTAGGCTGGGCAGTGTGTGAAACTGCCACGTGAAGAAACAGAGCAAATTCAGTGGTAGAAATAAGAGTAACTTGAAATAGGAGAGTTTAAATCTGGATTGTTTGATAAGTAGGAAAAAAAAAAAAAGCTGCCAAAAGTTTGTCCAGCCTGTACTTCAGGACAACTGGTTAGATTATGGGGTGTGCTGCTATGGAATGGTTCTTAGCTCTGTTTCATTGTGGTGGGTCTGTCATGTTCAAGATTACTGTTACACTGTGATGCTTCTGCTGTGCAAGAGCTCCCATATATATGGAAATGAAGTACAATGTTATTTAAGATCTGAACACTTGGAGTATCATAAAAGAATTGCGATGGTTTTTTATCCATTTGTGCTACATAAAGGTTGAACAGTTACTTGATTTAAGTGATGTGTTTCTCTTGCCTCCTTAAATAATTTTATGTCATGGAATATGAATACTGTTTAATACTGAACAAAAGGCAGTTCTAGCAGGATTTATTTCTTGTGAGATTAGAGTCAGATATTCTGTTTAGAAATATGGTCAAATCTAGGCTGTTTTCTTTCCCATCCCTTTTATGTAGTGTTGCTACCAGGGTGATATTGAGAAACAAAGGGCTGTTCTGTAGCAGAAGAAGCAAAAATATGTTGGCTTTACAGAGCACCTGTACCAGCTGATTACCTTTCAGGTGCTGGTAGTAGAGCTTTTTAAGGTATGCAAAATCACAGATGCAAATTGCATCTGATGTGAAAAGGGAATAGGAGTTGGGGGTGTGTTGCTTCAGTAATCAGTGTGTGGGGCTAATAAGCGGAGCATTTGTGGAGCTCAAGGGAAAAAATAAGTAAGAAGCTCTAGAGTCAGGTGTCTAAATCTCAGTTTGTAGAAACAAAATGATTAGTGAATGAAAGTAGGGGAAGAGAAATAGAAAACCTGTTATATACAGACTGTTAAAAGATAATCTTACTAAGTGCCAGCTAGGTGCTGCGCTGTTAGTAAATGTTGTCCTTTTTTTAGTGTTGGTGTGGTTATCTGTTGAAGAACAATAAACTTTAAGAGTGTGACTTTCCATCCGGTGTTACACCAGAGTGCTGCTGTGGGGGTGGCCTGAGCTGCTGTTCTGGGGTTGAACGAGGCTTTGTCCAAACCAAGTTCTTTATGGGAAGGTTACAGCTACAGCCTGGTTAGATAAGTGTGCAGAGTGAGAGTGCTGAGATTGTCTGTCTGCTTGCTCTGGAGCCCTTCTACCTTTCCACTTAAAGGTGGGCTTTGTGATGACAGATTACTTTGCTCTAGCACAGTTTGTGTTTGTACTTGGACTTTTGTTTCCAGCTTTGAATGAATGTGTTGTATTGAATCAGGATTATTGGAAGGTGGTTTTTTTTTTTTCTGTTGTACTGATTAGTATGTGGGTAGTAATGCAGAAGTTCCTGTGAGGAATTTTCTGAGGGACCTGATAGTTGGATATGAACTAAGTGGCCAGATTTTCTTAGTGAAGAATAGGTATAGGTGCAATTCTTTAATCATTAATAATTTGTTATACCATATGGTGTTTGATTTTGTTGTTGTTTGAAGAGGAGGAGGAGGTGTATATGATCTTTAAATGTACCTTCTTACCCAAGCAATTCAATGGTTCTGTGTATCTATGGGGTTATTTTGTTAGGATTAGCCTGTCTAAAACAAGATTTTAGAGAAGTACTTACTTGAAGGGCAGTTGTATTCAGTGCCTCAGAGATCACAGCTATCTGAAGTACAGTAATGTATTTTTATTGAGAGGATGGAGAAGATGATGAATTACTTCATTAGGCATGAAATAAGTTGGTCAGGCTTTCTCATTAGAGGTAAAGGGGTCATTAGCATTATTCTTTATTCCTGGTTAAAAAGCAGATGGGTTGCTTAGAAAAGAGTATCATGTTAGTGTGGGAAGAAATCACAAGATGAGCTAAGAAAGAAAAGATGGGAATAGCTGAATGTGGATAAAATGCAAGGAAATATATGAGAAGTTATTAAAGAGTGAAATGTGCAGTAAAGACCTTGCTGGGGAAAATAATTATCTTATTTGAGTCTATAAAGTGGGGAGAGATGAAAAAGCTCTTAGATGAAAGCTTGTCTTACTCTCCTGGATGTGAAGATAGTGGGTTAAAATGTGGGTCCATATGAGTAAGACTTGAGGGGGCTCATGGCCAACACTTACATTGGTTCTAGAAAAGCTGGACCAGTGGCTGCTTATTACACAACTTAGTACCCAGTCTCGTGATGAAGAGCTTTAAGACAAAGCACAACTTCCAGGTCAGGGTAAAATCACAGAACTAACTTTTTTGTATTATCCATGAACACTTCAGGAGTTATTTTTCTCCTCATTTTTTCAGGTAATTAACTTTTAGAGTTGGAAATGTTTCAAATGTGAACTCAAAAATTGATCTTTCTGTCCATGACTTAGCAATAGAAGAAAATTAACAACAAGAATAAAAAAAAAGAAAAATTAAAAGTACTGAAACTTGTGTCTCTGTCCTTTATCCTTGCTTTTTCCAAGTGTTGGGAAAGGTAGGTCAAGTTTATCATCAGCATGTTATTGAGAAGGTCACTTTTAGTTCAAGTAGTGAAAACTAGTAACAACCTTCCAGACGATCCTATATTATCACTACTGCATTCTTTTTAATATTTTTACTGCTTTTCAGTTGTTTATCAAGTAGTGTACAGAAGTAAAAACATTTTTAGTTTTGTAATAACTCAGAATAGCAGGTTTTCTTATTCTTAGGCTACACTTGACCAGCCTTCATTCTGTCTGGAATTGACTGTTGCACCAGGATTATTTACAACAGCAGAGGCTCTTGCCAATTTTTCCTCCTACCCCCCCATGTCAGACTTTCATTATCTGACATTTAAGATAACTTTATGTGTCTACAGGGATTCATTGTTTTCTCCTTTTCTATTAGTCAAGGCTGGTATAACATGATAGTTTTTAAACTAGTCCTGGGATTAGTTTGTACAGAACAGAATGTTTTCTTAAGTGACTTTTTTAAATACTTAGCAGGTGCTAGTGCTGTCCCTGGAGTGCAGTGGCATGTACAAAATTTGGAGGCATTGAAATGGCAATCTTCTGCTGAAGGTGAGTAAAGACTAGTCTAACAGGTCTCCATAGTTGATGTGTGTAAAGAAGAGTGGAAAAAACCACCTGAGCTAGCTTGCTGAATTTATTAGTTACTTTTGGATTTGTTACTTTCATTAGCCCTTGAGTTAGAAGATTACAAGTGAGTGTTAGACTTAAATTTTTCTTAATCCTGTTTTGTGTGGGCATTCTTTGCCCACTTCTGTTGCTTTTTTTACTTGAAATAGCACCCATGGTGCAGGTGGTTTAAGCCAAAAACTAATTATTGCTGGGACAAGCACACTTAAAAACAGCCTTAGAAACAGGATGAGTGGATGCTGGAGAAAGAATATGGACAAGGTGAGATCATGTTCAAGTTGGATAACTGGCTTTACTTAATTTCACTGCACATAATTGGGTAGAAGAATAATCACCTGAGTCAAGCATAAGTTAAATTACATCAAATGCGAGTAACTGAAAGGGCAAGACTTCTGATTTGGGGTAATTTTTTCCCCCAAGTTCCTTTAATTTCTCCAGCATCATCTGCTGGCCCTTGCCACAACAAAACAACTACTTAACTCTGGTAAAAAGTCATTACTAGAGGTTGGAGAAGCAATGTCAAGAGCTGTTAAGCTTAATACATTTTTGAATATATTTGTAAAGATTGATAATTGCGTTATAAAAACCCACTTCTCAGCCCTTCACTGGTGATGCTGTTTCTGTGTTCTAAACACTTCAATGCACTTCTGACTTCAAAAGGTAAACTTTCTTGAAACAGAAGTAATGTTGTTATGACTTCATTAAGGTACTTTAACATTTAAAGAGACTCTAGTTCTAAAGAAGTCAACCATGAGAATGTGATGGTTGTGACCATACCATTAATCACTTGGGAAATTTAAATGCATCGTGTTGAAGGTTTCAATGTATTATTGGTAGCTGAGGTAGCATAAAATAGTCTAGCTCTGGTAACTAGCAAGTGCAGTATTCCCATTTATCCAGGATATCCTGTACAGGAAGAAGCATACTAAGTTCTGTGTAGCTGTATTCCATCAGTTTGTGGTATCAGAAGTAGTTCAGGCTTCTGCAGGCAGCTTATATGGCAGGACACTGGAACAAGACAAACTTTGAGGTCCCTTCCGACCCAAACCATTCTGTGATTCTATATGTATAACACAACTGTTAAGTTCAGTGGCTGTAAGATAGTAAGGCTTTTTACTATAACCAGATTAATTATTACAGGTGATGCATCAGTGCTGTCACATGAACATTTAATAACTTGTTACCTTTTGACAACTCAGAATGTGATCTCTTATTGAGAAACAGTTTTGTGTAAGCTTCATTTAATATCTTTGAAAGATTCTGCAGAGCGTTCTGCCTTACAGAAAGAGGTGAGGTCTGTGGGACTCTGTGGAACTGTTAATGAAAATTCTTTTGGTAATGGATTTCCAGAGCTGCTCTGCAGCTGTGTTATTTGAGACTCAAGAGGCATGGCTTAGGTTTGATAAATTGATGTGGCTACAAACAAGGTGAAAACTGAAGTGAAGTGAGGAAAAGCAGTTACAGTGGTGTCTCCACAGCTTGAGACTCCTGTGAAAAGAGGTCCTGAATTTATTGCTGTAAGTATCTAGGACAAGAGTATGGACAAAGGAAGAACAGCGAGTGTTATTAGCCTTAATAAGCTTATAATAAGATTTCCTGAAATGTGCTTGTAGCTGAACTGGTGAGATATGGTTTGGGAAGGGGATTATTAAATGGGCGAAAAGTTGTGTGTAGCACTGAACTTGAAAAGTTCCGATCAGCTGAAGTCCACCTGGAGTCTTGTTACTGGTGGCATCAGTGCAGGGGCAGTTTGTCTACATTCCAGCCACTCTTCCAGGTCACTGATGTACTTAGAGCAAATTTGTGGATGCTGCCAGACTGTGAGGGTCAATTGACCTGCTGGAGACTAGGGCTGATTGAGTGGGATGTTTGCAAGTTGGAGAAATACCTGTTGGAAACTTTAGGAAGTTCAAAAGCAAATGCCAAGCCAAATCTCTTTGGGGCAGAATGACCCCATGCAACAGCATAAATGTAGTGCCAAGTGGTGAAAAGTACCTTTAACAGGAAAGAACGTAAGGGTCCTTGTGGGTCAGTGTGTGCCTTTGTGGTGCAAAAGGTGGAGAGCACACAGGGCATGGTCAGCCAGTTGAAAGAAGCAATTATTCTCCACTATTTGGAGCTTGTGAGACTGCATCAGAAGTACCATGGACAGTTTTGTATTCCCAAATACGAGGAAAATGCTGAGGTGCCTGTGAAAGGCCACTAAGATAAGAAGTCAGCAGCACAGGATGTATGAAGAGGGCTTGAGGAGTTAGTTTGTTCAGCTTTGAGAAAGATCTGGAGTGGGGGATCCTAATTGCTGGCTCTGACTGTTTAATAGGTAGTGAGGAGGAAAATGAAGACAGACTCTCCTTAGCTATGCTAAGGATAAGAGGGAAAGGATAAGAGGCAGCAGACACAAGCTACAGAAAGGCAGATCTTTATAATGTGTTAGCAGTATGTTTTCCCACACAGAGAATGAAGCACTGAAACAGGTTGTGGGATCTCTGTCCCTGAAAATATTCAGAACCTGACTATGGTATGACCCTGAGCAACTTGATCTGACTTCAAAGTTGGCCCTGCTTTCAGTTGGGGGTCGGATTGGATAACCTCCAGAAGTCCCTTTCAGTCTAAATGAGCCTCATATTGTGCATGGGTAAGCAGGAGCTAGTACACTATAGTTAGTCCTGGAAGAAAAGTAGTAGTTGGAAATCTTCTATCCAGATTAAAATGTCCAACTCAAGTCTGAAACAAGTTTTTCGTATAAAGCAATTCTGTTGCTAAAAGCTTACTTTAAAATTGGATCCCATTGTTAACTCCTAATGGAAGTCATAACTGTTAGAGGATTTGTTAAAGATCTGCCTACATTTCTTCTGTTACTTCAATAAGGAGCCAGTAAGACCAGTCTCTTACAGCACAGAGCTGGCTGACAGTGTGACACATATAGAAAATGTAGTTTGGCAGTGAATCCAGCAGCTTTAAGCAGCATTCCCTAAGCTTAATGTCATGATGCAGTTCCTGGACAAAAAAGGGTTAACTTTCTGAAGTAGCTTGCAGTGGAGGGCGGCCTTAAGAGCTAAAAAAAAGTCAGCAGTGTCAGCAGTGCAGGGGGCAGCAGGCATCCACATAACTTTGTAATGTAACTGTTAACTCATCAGATCTTCTCATGGACAGCTGAGATTTGCTGGTCCTGACAAAATGCGTTTATTTTATATGTCATTGTGTGGCCCCAGTTGTTCAATGTTGGCAGATAACATTCAAACTTTATAGGTAATTGAAAATGTGAAGTTAATGTTTAGCTGTATTCGAGACTTTGCTACTTAGTGCAAAGTACAGCCTTCCTTCTCCTCCCCCAGACCTCAGTTCTCTGGAGAGTAGGTGGTAGGTGGAATGACAGCATATAAAAAGGGAAGGAATGGTCTTCTTAAGGGAGTCGGGACTTTCCTACCGATTAAAGGTCTTGTTCCTTTGTCTAGAAGGACATCACACACATCAGTGCTCCTGACCACTTTTTAATGACCTTCTAGTTTCAGTGTAGGAGGTAGGGTGCTGGGGGCAGGGAATGCTGAATGCTTACAACTGTTGCTGTACACTTAGCAGAATTCCAGGTCCTTCCTTATTAATTTCACAGAAAAACCAAAGCAAAAATCAAACTCCCCATAGCCCCCAAAATCCTGATAACTTGGTTTTTATGTCAAGCAATTGCTTGTACAGAATTTCTTAGTAGCTTGTCCTTGAGCTTTCTGTAAGGACTCTGTGTGTTCACACCACTAAATGCAGTGGGCAGTCTCTCTCATTATTCCATGTTCCTTTCTCCATTGAAAGTTGGAGCGATGTCCATTTCCACACGACTTGAATTTTTGTCTTATTGTTCCTGTGTAAAAGTAATATCCTACCAAAGACACAGGTGTTAACACAACAGTATTTTTTCATTTACATTGTTCTCCCCAAAATGGCTAAAGTGCACTACATAGTTGGGGGTTTTTTTAAGTTATTTGTACTTAAAACTTCATTCTTGGTTAAGTTAGGAATTTCATAGCCCTGCTGGAGTGTGGGAAATCCTGAACCAATGTAAGGAAGAAATACTTCTCTCTGAGGGAGCAGGTGCCGAAGTGATTGAGGAATAAATATTGTTCTATGGTGATATTGAAGACTCAACTGGATGAGTCTCCAAGCAGTCTTATATAACTGGACCTCCTTTAAGCAGGACTAAGTAGCCTCTAGGGGTCCCTTACCTCCTACCTATGTGAAATCATTATTCTCTACATCAATATTAGAGCTTGTTTGTCTTTGCCACTGATAAATGTGTTATGAAGAGACTTGTACCTAGGACTTCACTTGTGTTTGTGGTAATTACTAGGTGGAAATGATCACTATAGCTTTTATGTTTGTTGGACATGACCTGTTGAGCACTTTAAAGATGTCACAGGCTTTCTGTGAAAACTGCCTTTTTTTGGTTTGTTTGTTTTTTTTTTTCCCTCTACAAAGTGATACTGATGAATAGTGATTCCTGGGACTTGAGTCTGAATATTTTAGTCTGACAAATGAAATCAGAGTGATTAAGTCAAGAATGTCTTGGTGCTTATAACTTAAACTGTGGGATAGACTTGAGCTTTCTGGGTAAATTAGCAAGATGCACGTTGTAGTTACCCTCATGGTTGGGATGGAAGTGTATGTATTGATTGCTGTGTATTAGAGAAGTGAGTTGCTACTTTATAATGAAAGAGAACAAACAGCAATGACAAAGTCCTATACTGACACTTTGTGTTTGTGTTTTTTGATTCTGGTTGCAGTTGCCTTGTTTTATTTCTGTTAGTATGTGTAATGGCAAGTTTATTATATGGTAGTGTTGAAACAACTGTATAACTTGGAAGGGAAGTTGTTTGTTGGACTTGTGTGACATCTGGAATAGCAACCCACGTTTTGGCAAGTTTGTGGCTAGG